TGCAATCTCGTCTCTGAGTATGATTGAATTGTAACGATCAAAGCGAGTGTCCGAATGCGTTTGATATTGTAATCCAATTGTTCCAAGTGTCAACAAACGGAAGTGATATCGAGTATAAAAAATTTTACATGGAGAGAAAAGACCTGATTGTTACTTCAAATTTTTTTACATTTCATAATTACGTGTTCAACATTAGTTTTCTAATGTATAAATAATGAAATAATATTCTTTCCCATTCTCCCTTCTTAAATCAGAGATTACAGACAGTAATATCAATGACAATAATAAAAGCTTCTAAAGAAAATCAACGATATAATATTTTTTAACGAAATCGAAACATGTCGCTATCAGCTGGCGAAAACGAAAGATTGAAATGAACCGTAGCAACAACTTTGCATAACAAATTTCCACATCTATTCACTTGTCAAAAGTGACAAATAACGATATTGTCGATTGTAGGCATGGAATTATCCTACGTTTGCCGTGTTTCTTACTTTTACATCGCAGAGGTTTCAAAGTTGAAGGTCTTGTTACAGCAGATAAGGATTTACGTAATAAAACCGGTCTGGAATCTGCAATAATCCGGAGGAATTCTGCTTATTTGCAATTTACCGAAAATCGCAATATTTTAAAAATGCGCAATAACGTCAATAATGCAATACCAGAAGATAAATCGTGTAAACAAAAAAGTTATATCGCGCTGCGATAATTCGTATAAATTTCGCGCATTCCTGAATCTGTTTTTTTTCGAGAGTGAAATAATCAAATCTTGATCTAATGTCTTTTAAATGCGTTTCAGGTAACGTGCAGATAACACACAGATATCAACAACAAACCGACAAGCCGACAATGGTAAGCTTCGACCGAGCATTTATCAAGATTTATCTCTCGCATTTTCCATATGTTTTACTATTTAAATTCTGTCATGCGTCATAATTATCATCCGACTCATGCTACTAACATCATCTCATTACATAATAAGCACATTTCGTTACATTCTCGTTGTGTATTCGATGTAGACCATTGTAACCGAGAAGTCGCCAACGGAGTTGGATACCTTTCTGCCCCAAGATGGATCCATTCTCAAGGACGGCGTTCTATCCGCCAAGTAAGACTTTGATCTCGATTTCATTAGAAAACATTACGCAAATCACATATATGATGCGTAGATATACGCGAATAAAAGGAAAGCATTGTATATTTTTCTATATATTTCAGATATAAAGTACAAGTCGCTTCGTGCGAGGTTGAGACAGGATTGGGTGACGAGAAAACTTTCGATCCTTTCGCAGAACGCAAAGTTGATAATCCGACAACGTAAGGATCATCTTATCTTTCTTTTAACCATATCTTCAACCATATGCAAAGCGAATTTATCGTCGTATCTGATAATATATGAACACGCGAAGAATAAACGTGTCGCAGCAACTGCAGTAATTGCAAGGACGATTATATATTATTGATGGCACGATTAATTATCTCATTTAAGTAAAATAAAAATTTTCTCTCGCGAAGTAAATATTCTTTAAGGCTGAAAAGGCTACATTAAGCCTTCAGCTGAATATTATTTTTATCTTTGCTATTTGTTCTATTTGGCTAGCGATTTTTTAATGTCGATCCGAAGCGACGCGATTAACGTATAAGCAAATGATCTATGACGTTTTCAGAGATTGCGATACATTGACGCACTTATTAAAAGCCTCTCTTGGCACTGGTATCCTGGCTATGCCCATAGCGTTCAAAAGTGCTGGATTACTCGTAGGTGTCTTCGCCACGATACTCGTCGCGTTCGTATGCACGCATTGCGCGTATATTCTGGTAAGAGATAAAGATTAGTATTTACTGCCGTATAACTATCGCTGGAGATAGCCTACTTTAATTTTTTTTGTCTGTAAGATACGATTGCGTAACACACATATAATTTCATTTTCAGGTCAAATGCGCACATGTGCTTTATCACAAAACCCGAAAGCCGGAAATGAGCTTTGCTGAGGTAGCCGAGACAGCTTTCAGCACCGGACCTCAATGGGCGAGGAGATTCGCAAAACCTTCCAGGTTATTAATTTCGTTTCTTCAACCGTACTCTTAACTCCTTCTCCTGAAGCAACTTCTTCGACCAATGAGTCAATCTCTCTTTGTTTATA